AACCCCAACCCTACAATTTGAAAATTTAAGATTAAAATTAGGGGTTGAACTTCAGGGGGATGATTGTGTCAATATCGTTGGTTTTGTTTTTCGTGGAATTTAGTTGCACCTTATCTATGATGACACCTGATTACGATGAAGGGGTGGATTTTAGGCTATATAATCTTATCAGCTGTTAGTTTTTTCTTTCTAATCTCCTCTTTTATTGATTAAAAATGAGAGTATTATTTTCATAATACAAAGTGATAGAACTGTGATTTGTAGTCCTATTTCATTACAAACCTCAACAACAGCCCCTTTATCGTCTTCAATATCTGATCTGTATCTATCTGTATCACTTGTCTTATCGCTCGTGCCATGTTTTCTTTTATTACTCTTTGGGAGTAGCGGCTGTTTGTCTCGATTTCGAACTTTTTTTCCTACTTGATTCTGTAAGTCATCTGCCCCATTTGGATTGCCATCGTCATGGTAAAAAAGAACATCGTAATGTCCATTCTGTCCGTCTCCCCGGTAAAGGAGTGAAAACTCAGGCCCGAAATCGCCAAATGAATAAACCTGGCTGTTTATATTATTCACGTGAATTCTTAGTCTGCTTTTGTAAACTTTAGTGAACGCATATATCTCCAAATTTCCTCCATGAACTCCATCCTCACACATGATGTTAGCGTAAGTAATCATATTTACTGCTTGGCTATTAAAGAAATCCGGCGTCAGAAAATTTTCAAACTGCTCCCAGTTTGTCGTCACGTATCTTACAATTTGTTGACGAATCGTGTGATGATGCTCCTGGTTACCACTTACGCAATAAGACATCGCTCTAAATAAACAATTTCCGTCAGCTATCATTTCGATAATAGTTCGGTGGTGAGCAGAACTCATTCTAAGCTGTTACTGTGGTAATAAATTGGTGGCAAAAATTCAAAGTCGCGAGTCCACTACCTAGTCATTTCCTTGATCCAATCCTCTTACCCTGTCATTTATACACACGCAATCGGCTGAGCATGGGGAAGGGTACTCTTACCACAAACGGAAAAGAGAGGCTGAAACGAATTTCGAAAAACCCACCCCTGGAACTCCCCTCAGTCTGCCACTGGATCGAGTGAGTAGACTCGATTAAGAGACGAAGCTGTATTTTTAGCTCTAACGCGCGGCATTTACCTTGCATGAATGTTACAACGGCGTATCGCGAGGGAGCGCCACGATCCGCGTGTAGAAAACGATCAAGTCCGTTTGCCCCATTCTGGTACGCTTAGTGCTGGGTTGTGTCAAAAATAACACGAGCAATTGATGACGTTAACAACTATATATAGAATATTTATAGTCCAATTTTTCTTAAAAATTATTGTTATTAAGGTGTTTTACGTGAAATTTTGCATTTGAAAAAAAAACCGCTCCTCTTAGGCTCTAATTTCCGAGAAAGGAAGAGCTTTGAAAATGGCAGATCTGCAGATGGGGCATTTTTTGAAGTTTTGCGAATCTTGGCAAACTTTGCAGACGTAAAAATGTCCGCACGGGATGAAAACATAGAATTTCTGAGCATCCATACAGACGCAGCAAGTCTCATTATTCTCCTCTGTGAAGATTTTAATGTGTGCCTGGCCTAAGTCCTCTTCGACCAGCACGATGTTCTTTCTGCCGACGGAATAAAAGTCCCTAAAGCGGTTCTTGACTAACTTAACATCCTTAGCCGAAACACGATATATTTGGTTTTCCACACGCAATGCTTTGGGAAACTGACAATTTAGGTTCGGAAAATAATTATTCGAAATAATGCGAACGCGTAGTCTGTTGTTTACTTTGATGCATATTAAGTAAACAGAGGCTTCCGATGACGATGCCATTGTCTACTTCGAGGGGGAAAAATTTGGAAAGTGCCGAAGACTGAACTAGCACACTCTAGCACTCTATTCCGGAAACTAAACAAACATGTGTTTTTTTTGCAAGTGTTCCGCCATCGATGGTTATCACCTCTTTCTCTGGACAATTTCCCCCTCACCTTCCCAGGTAAATACCTGTAGAAGTATGATACAATCGAACGGACCGAATTCGTAACACCACTAAAATAACGTACCTCAATAATAAATCCTTTACAATGACATCACACCGTCGCTAATATTGTTTAACTAGTCTAGAAATTTATGTCATACAAGGCCGTCCTACCTCAACAGTTCAGAGACCCTCGCGGACCAGGCATTGTATCAATAAACCATATTTTGTTCATGCAATTTTGTAAGCGCCAATATGTGTTACATGTTGACCGCCGTGCCGAGAACTTGCGTCCTTTTCATCTCAAGTCCTTGTTGTCATTCCCATCTGCGCTGAGCTACAGTCCAAATTGCCTGTTTTATTTCTATCTTAACTCGACTAATGGACCACTAGACGAGGTAAGAATTTAAGCATTCTAATACATGTTTCCTAACCAAAATTTCACGTTGAACACGATTTGCGCAACGATAATTACTGAAATCAACTCCTAACGAAGATATTATCGTTTTTATTTCACATTGGTTACGAATAATTTGAAAGGACTGCTAACAAGAAACTCAAAGCTCTACGTGAGTCAAATCGCGCACCACAACGGTTTCAGCGAAGCTCTCAATCGAGCAGACGTTTATTTCCCACCGTGTGTTGTTCAAACTAAAAGCAATTTGCTATAGCTGAGCCAAAGCGTTAAGATTGAGGTTGCCAGATCTTTATATCGCAGAGACTGTCGTGGTAACGTTTAGCGCGCGATGCAAATCACGTATAGCATTGAGTATTCATGAGCGGGTGGTTTGAATTCACGCATCAAGAATCATTAGATATGTTCGTAAGGAGTTTATTTCGGTGATTTTTGTTGCGCGCATCGTGTTCAACGTGAAATTTCGGTTGAGAAACATGTATCGAAATGCTGAAATTCGTACCTTGTCTAGTGGTCCATTAGAGATGTTGTCTCTTGTGTTACCGAAAAACGACAAAATTAGAAATTACTATATTCTTAGGAAAGAAAGATTATGTCCCCTTTTCTCATTCAAAATTATTTTTTCTTCCTTTTTTTCTTTTTTTTTAAATCCTAATTTTTTTTACCTACTTGCATTTAAAAAAATTGCAAAATTTGCCGTCCCCTGAATTTGCCGCCATGGGCCGCGAACCATGTGGCTAGGGCCACCCCCTTAATCCGACCTCGTCAAATACGGCTGGCTCCGATTGCGAGATTTGCCCCCGACACGTGGCCTGTAAGCCTACTTTTTTCTTTCATTGCCGAGCCGTGAATCGAAAAATGTATTGACTAAGAGTACTAAGGTCGAACTTCTACGCTCCAACTACCCGATTTCTTGTGATAGAGAACTAAACAGTTTGGTCATAAAAAGGAATCAGTGCTTATTGATATGTTTCTACTCTCCGGAGATTTCGCGTCGCGTTTGTCCCTCTTGATCCGTTTGGAGCTAGATCACTCGAATAATAACAGAGAGAAAGTGACGACGTTAAGAACCCTAAAATGCTTGGAGTGCTTTTTTTTAAAAAAAGTAATATGATATTGACGACGAAGACATGGGAGATGAATATATTACTACTTTTAAATGACCATTTGGACGTACCTACTTATGCTAAAAAGAACTATACGACATTTTCAAACTTTTCAGTGGGGCTATTTCGACTAAAACCATTAGCGTTTCCGTACTAATTAACCGATTTTGGTTTACTGTGGGTTTCTTAAAAGCTGAGGAGTTTATTAACAGACGCGCGTCGCTAAATCCCGGAACAAAGGACTACTAAGCGAGAAGAGGGGGCTATTGCATGTAGATCTTTCGAATTTAATGTGATATCTGGGATACTACATTAAATTAAAAGGAACTACACCGAACTGCATGTCTAGAATGCCTACCAGATAAGGAACTTCCGAAACGTGCATGGATCGGGTTTAAAAGGTTGGAGGAGGGTGGAAGCCCAAGCATACTTAACCTCAATCTCATTAACCCGCACAAAAAACAAATTCGAATTTGAAAATACCTACTAAAGTTTTTTTTTAAAAAAACACATCTCAATGATAGGAGCGCTGCGCTCGAATGGAAGGTTTTTCCAGCTAGCTATCGCGGCGCTAACATGTACCGCCCGCCGTGAGGCCCGTGAGGGATAATTAAAAATCCCTAAGAGGAAGTGGGAGTCCCTTAAGGGGCGCTTCAGGATAATGATTNGGGGGGGGGGGGGGTGTTGATATTTTTGGGTTCACATGAGCCTACTGAGCCTATAAAAATATTTTCATGAATTTTTTGCCATAGTTTAGTAAATATTACTAAAAAAGCGAAAATTAACTATTTTGAATCCATATTAAAATTACGCGACTAGGTCACAATAGCAACGCTACTATATGCGGCAGAAATTTGGGCTATCAGGTATTGTGACCTGCTTGAGTCTGCTCAAAGCAGATTTTTCAAATCCGTTTTTCGATGGCAAAGATGCACACCCCACTATGTCATAAGACAAGAAACTGATAAAGACAAATTGGAAACAAATGTAGTGAAATCTGGCCTGAACTGGTTTGACAGGGTAAAAAATATGCGTGAATCAAAGATCCTCAAAATTTGCTTATCCCGACTCGAGGACCTGGATAAATGTAGGTACAATATAATTAAATACAGCTGGTTCTCTCAATTAAAAGCCATGTTACATAAAATTGACCAAGAATATCTATTTCTTAGAGAAACCACAGAACCAGCCGCGATCAGGAAAATGGTAAATGAAGTTCAGAGAAAAATATCAGAACTTACCATGGAAAAAGACAAAGAAAAGTTAAATGAAACAAAGTTTGTCCCCTATTACAACCTAATTAAAGGATAAAAAATAAAGTATTCTATCTATCTATCTCTACCTATCTAGCATTGTATTAAATATTAAATACAAGGAAGTACAGAAAAATACAAGAAATTACAAGAATGTACAAGCTATAAGTTCAAAAATCGTGTTAAGAAGCGAACATACAAATTTTAGAACCTTCCTCTGGGTTCTCGCTGGTGGGAGCGCTAACGGTGGCCGGGGTTGTCGCGGTTAGGACGGCGCCGCGGAGATGGGGTCGCTCGAGGATGCCGCGGGGGTGATTGCGGGTGAGGGTGCCTACGCCTCGGAGTGAAGCTCCCAGCGTGGCGGTGAGACCAAGGGTGGAGCGGTTGTTCATCCACTCTTTGGCGCCTACTGGCGCGGCGCATGGATCTACGTCTTTTTTTCTTAATGTTTTTTTCCTGATATCCGTTAAATAGGCTAAAAATAAATTCCAGCGGCGTTTGAACGGCTTTATTATGTAGAAGGACACGCCTTGGTGCCGGAGGAGAGTGTTCTCGCGGGGAGTTCGCCGGTGGCGAGGGCCGTACTGTTTCCGCGGAGTCTGCATCCGGAGACGGGCTGGAGCAGTCGATGAGAATGGGGCTCAGAAGTGGAGGCGTAGGAGCGGGCCTGGGACGAGGTGGGGTGGGCGCTCGCGGGGTGAGCGCTTCCGGGGAGGCCATGACGAGGACCTCATCATCTGTGGCGACCTCCCACCAGTTGTAGGCGGCTTCAGCTTCCTGGATTGCCAGCTCCTCGTTGCTGACCGGAGAGAACTGGCTTGTGGCCGTGCTGGGGGGCGGCTCTCGAAATTGTGGTTGGATGGCGGTCGTTGGGCGAGGGGTTGGCTCACCATTTGTTGGAGTCTTTGGGATGCCTCTGACCATGGTAGATGGTCGGTTTTTGGTTTGGGCGGAGCCGACGTTGGTCCGACGCTGGGGGCGCGACAGGAGGGAGACGGCTTCGGTAGAAGTTCCGTAGCTGGGCGAAAGGGCAGGCCGCTTGGAGTTTTTCCGAGGCTGCTCTCGTTGATCCATGGCGACTCTGAAAAGCACAGACAAAATTGAAGCGGAGTCAGATCAGTGTTCTCGACTGCGATGCTGCAGAAAAAGCCAGAGCCGCGCTCGAATCAAATTTTGGATCGAGGGGCAATTGGAAGAAAGCTGAAGCGGAGTCAGATCAGTTTTCTCGGCTGCGATGCTGCAGAAAAAGCCAGAGCCGCACTCGAATCAAATTTTGGATCGAGGGGCTATTGGAAGAAAACTGAAGCGGAGTCAGATCAGTTTTCTCGGCTGCGATGCTGCAGAAAAAGCCAGAGCCGCGCTCGAATCAAATTTTGGATCGAGGGGCAATTGGAAGAAAGCTGAAGCGGAGTCAGATCAGCTTTCTCGGCTGCGATGCTGCAGAAAAAGCCAGAGCCGCGCTCGAATCAAATTTTGGATCGAGGGGCAATTGGAAGAAAGCTGAAGCGGAGTCAGATCAGTTTTCTCGGCTGCGATGCTGCAGAAAAAGCCAGAGCCGCACTCGAATCAAATTTTGGATCGAGGGGCTATTGGAAGAAAACTGAAGCGGAGTCAGATCAGTTTTCTCGGCTGCGATGCTGCAGAAAAAGCCAGAGCCGCGCTCGAATCAAATTTTGGATCGAGGGGCAATTGGAAGAAAGCTGAAGCGGAGTCAGATCAGTTTTTTCGGCTGCGATGCTGTAGAAAAAGCCAGAGCCGCACTCGAATCAAATTTTGGATTGAGGGGCTATTGGAAGAAAACTGAAGCGGAGTCAGATCAGTTTTCTCGGCTGCGATGCTGCAGAAAAAGCCAGAGCCGCGCTCGAATCAAATTTTAGTCCGAAGTGAACCGAAATAATTTTATGTCCCGAGTCGGCCAGTCATCTTCCTCATCCACCATTTTCGCCACCGCATTCATTCCTCGGAGCATAAGGGTCGGAAGGTCAATCGGAAAGGTCCTGTCGCCTTGAAGCGGTGTCAGATCAGTTTTCTCGGCTGCGATGCTGCAAAAAAAGCCAGAGCCGCGCTCGAATAAATTTTGGATCGAGGGGCAATTGGAAGAAAACTGAAGCGGAGTCAGATCAGTTTTCTCGGCTGCGATGCTGCAGAAAAAGCCAGAGCCGCGCTGGAATCAAATTTTGGATCGAGGGGCAATTGGAAGAAAGCTGAAGCGGAGTCGGATCAGTTTTCTCGGCTGCGATGCTGCAGAAAAAGTCAGAGCCGCGCTCGAATCAAATTTTGGATCGAGGGGCAATTGGAAGAAAACTGAAGCGGAGTCAGATCAGTTTTCTCGGCTGCGATGCTGCAGAAAAAGCCAGAGCCGCGCTCGAATCAAATTTTGGATCGAGGGGCAATTGGAAGAAAACTGAAGCGGAGTCAGATCAGTTTTCTCGGCAGCGATGCTGCAGAAAAAGCCAGAGCCGTGCTCGAATCAAATTTTGGATCGAGGGGCAATTGGAAGAAAACTGAAGCGGAGTCAGATCAGTCTTCTCGGCTGCGATGCTGCAGAAAAAGCCAAAGCCGCGCTCGAATCAAATTTTGGATCGAGGGGCTATTGGAAGAAAACTGAAGCGGAGTCAGATCAGTTTTCTCGGCTGCGATGCTGGAGAAAAAGCCAGAGCCGTGCTTGAATCAAATTTTAGTCCGAAGTGAACCGAAATAATTTTAAGTCCCGAGTCGGCCAGTCATCTTCCTCATCCACCATTTTCGCCACCGCATCCATTCCTCGGAGCATAAGGGTCGGAAGGTCAATCGGAAAGGTCCTGTCGCCTTGAAGCGGTGTCAGATCAGTTTTCTCGGCTGCGATGCTGCAGAAAAAGCCAGAGCCGCGCTCGAATCAAATTTTGGATCGAGGGGCTATTGGAAGAAAACTGAAGCGGAGTCAGATCAGTTTTCTCGGCTGCGATGCTGGAGAAAAAGCCAGAGCCGCGCTTGTATCAAATTTTAGTCCGAAGTGAACCGAAATAATTTTAAGTCCCGAGTCGGCCAGTCATCTTCCTCATCCACCCCTTTCGCCACCGCATCCATTCCTCGGAGCATAAGGGTCGGAAGGTCAATCGGAAGGGTCCTGTCGCCTCCAAGCGGAGAGAGACTGATGCGTGATACTGAGAAATCTACTCTCCGAACCCCGTTCACTCTGCTACTAGCTTAAAAGGGCAGACTTGGCATAAGGACAAAGCCGTGTTGTTGCCCCCAACGCGTGGTATTTACTTCGCCTGTTTCTTTTTTCTGTCGAGTTTTGAATCTCAAAACGTATTACGCGAGAACGCTAATTACAAAACACTGAATATAAGTAAGCGAGCTCAGAAACCCTGTTTTCGAGGGTCCAAAATCAACAAGTCGCGTAAGATGCGAGTCGGTGCTTACTTAAGCTGTACTGCATCGGTCCCGCCGAATAGGCACCCTTCCCAAACACGTCTCGATAAGATTGTTGGATATGCTTCCGACGTGTGCCTTACAGGCCCGCTTGTTTCGCTTTGTTGCCGAGCCGTGACTCGAAAAAAGTACCATTTAAGAGGGTTAAAGTTGAAATATTGAGTACGAGCGTACTTCAACTACCCGTGCCCGCGTGATGGGAAACCGCGGAGTCACGTCGGAAATGACGTTCAAAACTCTAAAATCATGGGAGTGCGTTTTTTATTCATAGTATTGCTCCTGAGGACGGGGACATGGGAGATTGATAAATTGGAGTGCCCTTAAATGAATATCTGAACTTTAATGGATTTGATCGAAGAGACAGCACTAAAAGTAAATGAATGGAGGTGATTTCGTCAAGAAAGGTTTGAAGATACGGGACAAGATACAATGGGCCTGTTGCAAGGTACGGCCGGATTTGAAAATTGATATCTGATTCCAATGGCAAATTTCACGGAAAGAACGATTGTGCTACTATAACAGCTTGAAATGATCTCTCAAACTCAGAATAAGCCGTTTTTGGAACCGACCCATTTTGAACGATCGTTTTTACGCGGTGACGGATGCGGCTTACTCGTGCATCGCCCAACAGACCGGGTCTCTCCATCACTTACAATGTATTTTCCCATAAGGAATTGGCAGCAGCTTTTCAAATGCAAATGTCGAGTCAATCTACGATTTTTTGAGCAGAATGGAATTCAGAAATGGAATCCTCGTGCGTCTAAATGGTTAAAACCTTCATTAGATACCTAAATAAGAACCGACAGGATAAACCTTATTTTTAAGGAAAACTGTGGTCAATGGGCGACTGTTTACATTTGTTATTAATACAGACATGGACATTTCCTCAATATATTTAGCCATTTACATGGGTTTTTGCTTGTTTGTCACTATTTGGAAGTAAGTTTCTTTTGTAAATCAATTGTTTAGTGCCTTAGGATCATTTTAAAAGCTGTAACACGGTACGCATTGTTCGCTTCTTATTAATTCAGAACACACTCCGACAGTCCAACGCTCAAATCAAGGATGTAGCGAGTCAGTTGTTATTTCTCAATATTTCACCTTTCTATGTTTCGGTGAAGACACCAAAATGACGGTACCCATCAATCATTGCGATGATAAAAAAAAAACTTACATTTGACAATACCTAGACGGGATGGACGGGAAGAGGTCATTATTGAATAAAGTACCACCCAAAAGCATTAGTGTTAAATCGTAAGTGCGAGCTCGAATTTAAAAGTTCTCCATTTCTTGGAACGCAACTTATTAGATTGAAAGCGTGGCATTAACCTCGTATAAAATTTTAAACGAATCACGAGAGAACGCCGGCTAAGTATTGCTGCATAAGAGTGAGCTTTGAATCCCCGTGTTTGAGCGTCAAAAATCGTCAAGCTTCTTAACATGCGAGTCGGTGTTCCATTTATCCATCCCCGAAAGAGCATATTCGACAAGGAAACGACGCTGTATCGTATTGAAATAATTCTAAGTGCCAAGTCCGGCTTCCCCCCCCCCCTTCAAACCCTCTCGCCCCCGCATCCATCCTCGGAGCACACGGACGGGTCGTCCTGTCGCCACCGAGAGAAGACAGAGACTGATACCTAATATTAAGAACTCCCCTCCCCAAGCTCCGCCCACTCTGCCGCTGGACCAAAACAGTGAACTCGGCTATGAGGCGAAGCCGGATAAAACGTATCACGGTAGACAGCAACTAAGAAGTGTTGGTTAAAATAAGCCCAAAAATCCCTTTTTTGAGCGTCAGCAATCACAACTTTCCGAAGGTGCGAGTCGCTATTCGATTTTGTCATGAAGCAGCTGCTCCCCTCTTGTAAACGCCCGTTCCAAATAAGGCTCGTTACGACTGCAGCATCTGTTCCCGACGCGCGGCGTACAAGTCAAGATTGAGCCTTGACTAGAAAATCGTATCACCCAAGAGCGTTAAGGTTACATTGCACTGCTCGAACTATCCGTTTCCGCGTGATGGGGGCCCTAAGAGTCCGGTCGCAATAGGATTCGGTGCTTAATTACATGTAGTGAGTCTTCGGAGATTCCGCGCTGCGTCTGCTCGTTCTTGTATGCATAAGGTTGGGTTGTTTAATAAAATGCTCGACAAGGAAACGACGCTGTATCGTATTGAAATAATTCTAAGTGGCAAGTCCGGCTTCCCCCCCCCCCCCCCGTTAAAACCCTCTCGCCCCGCATCCATCCTCGGAGCACACGGACGGGTCGTCCTGTCGCCACCAAGAGAAGAGAGAGACTGATACCTAATATTAAGAACTCCCCTCCCCGAACCCCGCCCACTGTGCGCTGGCCCGAAAGAGTAAACTTGGCTATGGAACGAAGCCGGAATATAGGCCCTAACGCGGGGCATTGTAAAACGTATCACGGTAGAACGACAACTAAGAAGTGTTTGTGAAAATAAGCCCACAAACCGCTTTTTCCAGCTTAAAAAATCATCAACTTTCTCTTGATGCGAGTCGCTGTTCCATTCTACCATGCTGTAACTGGTCCCGCCAAATAACCGCTCGCTTCGAATAAGGCTTGATGCGACCGCTGGATTTGCTCCCGTCGCAGGGCATATAAGCTAACATCGAGCCTTGACTCGAAATGTGTAGTACCTAAAA